GACAGGGACCCCTAGAGCGCTCGAGGATTGCCAAAGGAATTGTAAGCATATTGAAAAAATGCCATGATTTCTTCTGCGTTTGCCACTTGATTAAACTTAGTTTTTCATTTTTTACCTATATTGACTTATATATTGCTGGAAGTAAAACAGAATCTCAGGAATCAGTGTGATGCATTTGACAGATGTTGTTCTGCTCCTGAGCGATGGTCCCATGAGACCTGTGCACTTTCCTCCTTCCAGCCCCCCTCTCCCACCACCATGCTGTCTCCAGGCTCAGGAAGGGTTCTGTGGTCTTTATCAGGAACGGAGGTACTGCAAGGTCTGGTTTTCCAGCCTGATTCTCCGTTAGCCACCAAGGGTGAAGAAACAGCCTCATCCTGTTGCTTAATTCCATTTTCTCCCCTAGGATCTCTTCCACTTTTGAGGAGCTCAAGCTCTGTGGGCCATGCGAGCTCTCCTCCTTTGTGAGCGTACATGTTCCCTCGTTTGTCGATATCCACTTAGAGAGCCGAGAGCGGTCTTTGTCTTTAGAAGACAATGCTGGCAGGTGGGAGGAGCGGGGGTCAGAGTCCCTTCTGTTAGTGCATGTGGGAAGGGGCAATCTTCCTTGCAGTGTGAGAGGTTTGTATTCTTGTCTGTTATAAAATCCTATCTCTCTCCCACCATTATCATAAATGTAGCCTGTGCATAGCCTTCCCTTCTGTTTCTCTTCTACCTATCTCTAGTGTGTCTGTTTTCAAGGTGTTCCACAACATGAAAAGGCCTCAGTGAGTGGCAGTGTCCAGGAGTGCAGTGTGACCTAAGGGACAGAAAAATCACTTACGGGATAACCTGCTTGAAAAACAAAATAAAACTAAACAAAAAACCAAAACTACTGCTTCACTGTGACTCAAACTTTGGCTTCAAATGGCTATCTTTCCTCCTAAGACCTTTCATAAGTGTGCTGTCACAGCACCTTTGCCTAAGGACTCTGCCTCTGTGCTTTCACACCACCCTCGCCTAAGGCCTCTGTCTCTGCGCTATCACACCATCCTTGCCTAAGGCCTCAGTGCTGTCACAGCATGCTTGCCTAAGGACTCTGTCTGTGTGCTATCACACCATCCTTGCCTAAGGCCTCTGTCTGTGTGCTATCACACCATCCTTGCCTAAGGCCTCTGTCTGTGTGCTATCACACCATCCTTGCCTAAGGCCTCAGTGCTATCACACCATCCTTGCCTAAGGACTCTGCCTCTGTGCTATCACACCATCCTTGCCTAAGGCCTCTGCCTCTGTGCTATCACACCATCCTTGCCTAAGGCCTCTGTCTGTGTGCTATCACACCATCCTTGCCTAAGGCCTCTGTCTCTGTCCTGTCACAATATTTTTGCTGCCAGAAAACACAGATAGGGAGAGAACTTTTAAAGATAACTTCAATAATAGTACACACTTTGGCTGGGTGCAGTGGCTCACCCCTGTAAACCCAGCACTTTAGGAGTCTGAGTCAAGTGGATCACACCAGCCTGGCCAATATGGTAAAACCCTGTCTCTACTAAAAATGCAAAAATTAGCTGGATGTGGTGGCATGTGCCTGTAGTCCCAGCTTCTCACGAGGCTGAGGTGGGAGAAT